TTGCAAGTTACTTTTTTTATTTGTCCCTCTCGTGATGTGTCGTTTGCAGTGTGAGCTATAAGGATGGGCTACTGCAGAATATCGGAAGATAATGCACGTAGTCATCGCATCGCACAATCGAACACAGGACTTCTGCGTGGCAGTTCAGCATGGTAACCGTTCGGCCACGAAGGCAGTTATTTTATAACTGAGTTAAAGATCCATCGATGCACTTTAGTAGCAGTATAGCTTGTCCGAGAAAGTGCTGCCATTTCATCTATTTCTGCCCCCATGCAGTAATGTGAGCATTCTTGAGTTCCAGTTTTTAAGGGTAAGGGTGCTGGTGAAATTACAGGCACATAGGACTTGTGAACTTATGTCTCTGGGTGACGGGTGGGCTCTGAGCGGCATTGCTACTGTTGTGAACAGGCGTGTCGCTTACCACCAGGCGCACGATTTGTTTGTCCCGCCGCTTGGTGTCATAAAAAAATTGACTCGACCTTTTTTTATTTTCAAATAAAATAATTTTGATTGACAATTTGGTGTAAAATAATACCGTTTATATCCTTTATCGGCTGATTGTTCCATTGTCATAATTTGATAGCAGGTAATTACTGAAGCCAACTGCCGTTGTTATGACATTTTCAATAATATTCTACTCTTTTTATAAATGCAAACGACGTCGTTTCGCTTGGGATCGCGTGAACGTTTGAAAATAACAATTGTTCTATATTTTACAAGGACATAAAACATAAGTGCCGAAGAATATCTTGTTATTTTGAAATTAATGGTTATGTTTTTAATATATCTTGAACACGATTTTATTCGAAGAAATATACATAATATTGTTGCCCAACTTCCAACGGGGCTGGCGAAGAGGGAACATTTTCATTGCGTGTTTTCGGTATATATATTTTTTTAATTGCTCCATTGTGATTTCTTATATACGCTCCTACATATCGTCGTTGTTTCATAGAAAGGGCGAAAGTGCCATTTTAAAAAATAAAATCAGGAAATCGAAAAATGTGTCTGGCGAGCATGTTTTAGTTTTTCGCTACTGTTTTAAAATATTAATGTCCAATTTTAAAACTTAAACTTAATTAAAACCAAAATTGAATTTTAAAACAGGACGTTAATATTTTGAAACAGGCGTTAAAATTTAAAACAAGCTCCCCACAAACATTTTTCGAAATGGCGCTTTAGCCCGTTCTACAAAACACCGACGAATATGGGTACCTCATTTTATTAATATTCTGGCAAAATTAAAAATATTCTCCACAGACATCTCGAAAGCATTACCTGTTTTCATAATATATTAAAAGTAAACCTTCTATTCATAATTAAACTGAAGAACTCTGTTAACACAAAATTTATTCAAATATTTGTTCAAATTACGAGGGGTTATCCGTATTGACAAATGATCCTCAGTGGCAGGGTTAACAAAAAAAAGTTAAGATAACCGATCGGAGTAATTTGTTTGAGTGATTTATCGATCGTGTGTAATTAGCCTTATCTGTTTGAAACGACGCCGGTTGTGTGATGCATGACAGATGTAAGGCTCTTTTCAATATCATAAGTATCCATCAAATGATAAAAATTAAAAAGCATAGGACTTCTTGCGCTAGGAATTCATTCAGATATTTACGGTTATATTTTCACTTTTGATTGTTTCCGTAAGACTGGCAAAGAGCACATTAAGCTGATGGCATTCAGCTACTCTGATAAATGGCGTACCTTGTTCTGTTCCTCTGTTGGCGATTTTCGATCGAAAATGCCAAGGTTGATGTAGTCTTAACGTTCTTTAGAGACATATCACAATACGCCAAACTATAGATATCTCACAACTGGAATAGACAAAGAAAATAAGGCTCCACATGTTACGATCCTGGCTATTACCTCTGATTCCTTTATACGTGCGTCGAATTTGCATCCTGTAGACAACGTCGGTTAGGTGTGAGGTTTTTTCTAATAACAAAATTTATTACACAATGACACCAATTGCTTGGTCACTGACTAGGAACTTCTTGTACTTCCTAGAACAGGCAGATCAGAAACAATTTGAAAAAGTTCATTGGTCTCACCGGGAATTGAATCCGGGACCGTCTCACCCAGTGCCAAACCGTTGGAGGACGTCCATTACAAAAAGAAGACGGAGAGCATTTCTTTTATAAAACTTAAAAAGAAATAGAACAAGAAGTATTAAAGTTTAAAGTCGCTTTTACACAAAGTAAATAACTTCTCGAAGTCACTTGTAAGGAGCAAGTATCATTCGCCTACTTCAGAGCGGACGTTTACCTAAATAGATGCAGCCGTAAATTAACACCATTCCAGGACGTGTCTCATATTTTGCTGCTAAGAGCTTAGCGCAGATGTTTTCCTAAAAGCAAAAGAGGCTGCATAGGGGAGCGGAGAGAGGGTGGGCGAGACCGTTTGAGTGCCGAAACAAACACGAGAGAGTTAAGACGGGCTTTCCAGACTTGTTTGTCTGCAACGTCTATTGTTGACACCTAATTTTGCGATTTCTTGTTTACGTACAGGATGCGCTCCAAAAATAACGTGAGATGTCTGCCAAAACAAAAGTGGAAATCAGTTCATCGCTGCGTTCATAATATCCTTCCGGGGCTTTTATATAAATTTAAATAAAAGACAACGGGAAACCGCCGCGTGAACTTAGAACCGACGGCCGAAAGTTAGAAAGTCAGGAAGGAAAAGTCCCGAAAAACCGGGAGAAGTTTGTCCGAAAACCGGGACCAAACCCCAAAAATTTAAGCCCGCTCCGTTTCCGGAGGCCGAGGGCCGGCGTAAATATTATTTGGGACTTTCTTTTATTCCCTTTGTTTTAGCCGTTTTATTATTTGCGGTCCGAAGTGAGTTACGGCGAGAGAATGAACGCGGACTCCCGCTGAGTGCGTCTGTACAACGCGGGCCCCGGCTGATGTGCTTAAACAACAAATTTCCTGAACAATAATGAGCCTAAACAAGATTTTGAAACTTCCGAGTCGTTTGATATAGAGAAACAAAAGAAAACTCTACTAATTTATGTATTCCTCTTTAGTCTTCGAAGCGGGGAGACCCTTCTCAAAAGTAATTGACAAATTCGGACAGAAAATAGAAAAAAAATAAAAAGTGAAAAACTTTTGTTATTTTGCGCGTAGGAATAATTAGTCTATTCCAATTTCGAGGGCAAGTGGATACATTCCGGGTGGATCGTAAAGACGGAATTTTATTTAAGACGGAATAGGGAATCTTGGGGCCTTTATAAAAAGTGACCCCTTCTCACTTCGTGCATATAACGCTGTAAAGAGATTCCGTAATTTTTGCGCTTTGAGTGATTGCTCTGGGGATAATCGGGAGGCAGATGGCGCGATATTGGGGATCTGTAGTTTTATGAAGGGCATGGCGTCCCTTCTTCGTGGGGCCATAAAACAAAAAGGAATCTGTCAAGGCTGAGGTATGTAACTATTGAGAACGGATATAAATTCAGGCCTAAAAACAAGATAAGTCAGGTACTGTGTATAATCTTCCGTATATATGACTAATATAAATTTGAACTTTTTCTCTTAACTTCATTGGTAAGCATGTTATACTTGAAATAGCCACATTCATTAAACTCTACTACTCATTCGCAAGACAGATTTCCCTGAAAAGAATGAGTGAGAAACACTGCTTTTTGTAATTAAACATTTGTAGGTCATTCTCAGACTAGTGTTTACTACCTAATTTCCGTGGCACTATTTATTATTTAAGTATTCGTTTTTTTATAGTGCAATATTATTTAATATTCGAGTATTTTAAATAGAAAAGTCACCGTGAGACTCAAACTTATTAAGTTAAATAACGGATGACTCACGTTATTTAAGTTTCGAACCAATTCGTGGTCCTTAAGGCTGCCTTTCCTCCAGAGATGTGCGACGTAGCGAGACGGTGTGCGAGGCAAAAATCCATCAACAGGATTACTTCATTTTCCTAGCCTCGCTTAGCGCAGCTCCGGTGGAGAACGGTTAGCGGAGCTGAGTATTTGTACATACAAAATAGCGAGAGATGTGTGCGAAGGACCGGGCGAGGAATGTGTGCAAAACGGTGTAAAAAACTAGAGCTTCTGAAAATATGACACTAATTGACACTGACACATCGCCACCGCTCACCCCAGCACATCGTACCTCACCCGCGCAAAGCTGAAATGAGTCAATAACGCATCTTCACAGCTTTGGTGGAAATCATCACACCGTTTCACAGCACCGTCACACATCCCCGCAACGCCCTCGCACATCTCTGATGGAAAGGCAGAGTAATCGTAAGATTCCGCGACAGTGACTCTACGGAAATTCGAGTATTGTATCGTGAAATATTATTTAATAATAACACGATAATATACTTGAATATTTAAATAATAAAAATTGCCACGAAAATTATTAGTGAACACTAAACCGAGAATGAGCGTTCACAATGTTACCAACTACCATAAATTACATTTAAATATTCAAGTATATTACAGTGTAATTATTAAATAATATTTCACGATACAATACTCGAATATTAAAAATATTGTTCGCTAAAAACGTCGAATACTTAAATAATAAAAATTGCAACGGAAATTAGATAGTGAACACTGGTCCGAGAATGACCGTTTTATTTTAATTCCCCGTATTAATGTTATATTCATCACTATTTTCATACAGAAATTGCTATTCTTCTTCAAATAAATTAAGTTTAAAATCCAATTTTAGGTTGGTTTCTCCTAACGAGAGAAGCATTTTGATTATCGTGGCTATATCGCGATTATTAGTTAATCAAAATCAGATTAAGTTTATGTACCTTGTGCTCTATCTGATTACTTAATATAATAAGGTATTTTCGGTATTAGTTACGCGCAATCATCCAATGTTAGTCAATAATATGAAAGGAGGGAAATAATTTTCAGCATTACACAAGGCAAAATAATTTCTTAGAACACGTTTATCTCGACAAAGGCGTATTTATAACAATAAGTTATTCTAAGGGATTATTGACAAAGAACTTACCGATGGCATATTGTTTTTGTTGCCGCACTGCAAACTTTTGGATTCGATCTGTAATAAACAAAGACGATACGTTAGCCAGGGACATTCTTTCATAGGTATGTGGATGAAACTAGGAAATCTTTTAATTTCCAAACAATAGTTGATCAAATATAAGTAGTTCTGTGTCATGCTACAAGAACTAAAACAAAATACTGTTAACACGCGGAACTAACACAATTGTCACCTTTCAACGTCTGAAAGTGAACCACATAAATCTATGTAGTATATAATCTCAGTACAGAGTACTAAAAAAACCGACCTCAAAAGTAAGTGGAATTACGTCTATTTGCTAAGTTTCATTGAAATATCCCCTAGTTCGCCGCTACAGGACTTGATACCGGAGATAATAAAAATAGGTGCTCACTACGACACTACTCAAAGTATTTCGAGAGAAAAACGCCTTGAGTTGGAGAAATAGCAAAATCAACTAAATAATTGCTAAAAGTAATTGCTCCTAAATTAAAGTTAGGCGCTATTTATAAAAATGACTCTTCATGCGTGAACAGCCACCCTTTGAGGTGGATGATTTTCTTCAAAATGAAATGGGACCACTATGGAAATACCCCCTTTCCAACAAAAAAAGAATCATGAAAATCGGTTCACAAATACCGCAGTTATCGCGTAACATACATACAAAAAAAAGGAAAAAAAAAGAACATACAGCCGAATTGAGTACCTCCTCCTTTTTGAAGTCGGTTAAAAAAAACCTAAGAATTTCAAAAAACTATCCCAAACGCGTGAGCACAAAAAGTCGTGTTCGCAAAATCGTAATATTATTGTCTAATAAGAAACGTGAACGTTATTAAAGGAAAATCAATTAAATTTTAAATTATATTCAAGCGTTCAAATTCTCACGCACGTGTTTGACACACAATGGTCGATAATTTCCTGCAATTGTAATATGATTCTATCAATTGGGACCCCAAATTATTGCCGTTCACCAAGTGGGGCGTTGCGATCCGGCTTAAGGCTATTCATAGCAATAATAACGTAAACGGACAGTATTTATTGGGTGAACCATTTATTCCTAATCAGAAATAGAATTCGTCAATAGCCAGGCATAGGTTGGAAAGGTTGCTTTGAATTTGAGTTTATTGTGTTAAAGGAGTGTATTTTGATGTTTGACAAAAGGAAAGTGACAACAAAGAAGCAGAATTCGTAATTCGCAATAATTATTAAAGTCAAAAACATCATATGGACTTTAACATAATTTTATGTGAATTTCTTGAGTTCATAATTGAAATAAATGATGTCGTTGACAGATTATAATATAATAATTTACGGTCGACGGTCTACGGATAAAGCAATATGGCCCTGGTTAGGCAAAGACGCAGGTTTGAGGTTGAAGGCTTTTTTCTTTGTGTTCAATCTTTGTATTAATAATAATTATAATGTATTTCATATTCTCAATATCACAATATAACAGACAATACACAAGACAATAGAAATTAATATATTTTAATACGAAAATTAATATTTATATAACGAAGTTGTAAAAACAAGACAAATATAATTGTCGAAATACAGCAAATTGCAATGACAAAACTTCAGTTACTGAGAAAAAAATCATCTACATTTGTAAATTAAATATCCAATTAAAGAAGTACCAGTCAGGTGTATAATATATTCGAATTTGTTTTGGCAAATGGAAAGGTTATATTAGTAAAAAAAAAACACAATCTCATTGATGTCCCGACATACTTTAGACATAAATTCTTCTTACACACGCCAGTCCCTTTGTACATCAAATAGCCGGAACTGTAACACCTGAGCTTCATGCGAAACACATGATGTTATTTATTAGCCCCTGACTAAGATGGAAAGACGAGGAAATGTAGGAGGAAAGTATCAGGAAAATTAGTAAGAATAAATGATACAAAACAGAAAGGAGGCACTTCGCTTAACATCGCATTGCATTTTATAGATTGAAATTCTTGTGATTTTTTTTCCATCGTCAAAAGAGATCTCAGTGTCAAAGAACTGCAACTCTGTGATGGTTTTACTTCGAAACGTATTATGGATTATTAAAATAAATTACATTATAGGATATTGCCCGTATAAATATAATTATAAGCGTACACGAATATGGCATGTCATAAAAATCAAAACAGGTGTGCAAAAAGTGACATTTTGTACAAAAACACAAAACATTATCAAAAAAAAAACACAAATCCATTTTGCCGAGACAAGCATTTCGTTCTAAATAAATAAATAACAGCACACGGGACGTCGCTGGGGCGGCCATATTTTACCGCTCCCGTCCCATGTCGACACCTTTTTGTCCCTTTTTGCAATGCTGTGTGGACATACCGCGTAGGTGCTACGGGTTTATAGAGATTTTAGATGATACTAACAACTCTTTACTGCATAGTGGGTGGGATAATCGATAGATAGATAAAAGTAACATGATTCGTCAGGTCAAAAGAAACAAGTGGAGTTTATGGTTGCCTTTGATATAAATAATTTCCCGGCAGGAGACATACTAATACAATAAAGAACAAAAAAATGAGAGTTACATTTTGTGTAATAGCGCAAAACGTTTTGCATAGTATGTGCGGCATTAGACTGAAAGAAAGAATGTAGAACAGATTAGTAAGAAAGCGTTGTAGTATGAAAGGTGAAGAGACAAGGATAGAAAGGACAATGCTTCGACGGTTAGGCCTAGTAGAAAAAAAGTTTAGTAGATAGACGTCACAAGTATATAGAGCTAATGCGGATAGAAATGTGGGGAGTAGGTTTGACGTACATAGCTTCCAGATTGAGGATGTACTTAAAAAGTCCATGTTACAAATACACTAGAACGTATAAAGAAACTGATGCGAATGGAGGAGGCGAAAAAAAGCTTGTTGGAATCGTATACACGGAGGTTTATGGTTTCTGTTAATACGGTGGGAGATCGGCGTGATGATGTGTACGTATGTCATAGATTTGAAGAAGATAGTACCAGGACAGCTCCTTGTAAAAGAGTTTGTCTAGGAAAGTATAGCCACCTTACCTATTTCTGCCGCCAAGCAATAATGTGAGCATTGCTGCGTTCCCGTTTTGAAGGGTAAGGAAGCTGGGGAAATTATAGGCACGTGGGACTTGTCAACTTATGACTCAGGGTAACGGACGCATGGTAGTGCCCCTGAGATCTTCGTGATTCTTTGTGAGCTGTGACTGACACTGCAACTGTTATGGACAGGCATGTCGTATACCAGGACGACTGGTTCGCCCCGTCACTTAGTACCTATATATATAAGAATTGGACATGTTTGAAGATGTATAAAATGTTATTTCTTAACACATAAAAAAAGAATGCTTGCCGCTTACTTTAAACAAAAAGTCGTCAAAATAACGGTGCTCAAAGCTAAGTTCACAAAAGACGTGTGACAGCTAAAATAAATACACATCGACAAATCTATTCATAGTCAACACAAGGTTGAAGGTGTTAAGGAATTTCAGTACTAGGTAATTATTTTGAACTAAAGATGTTCAAGTTTGTGGACAACGTAGTTTATTATGCTTTTATTTATAATATCGATGGTTTTCTAGAATAGTGGCCTATCTCAAAATCAACAAATTCGTCAGGAATTTGGTTTAGAATCGACTGAATGATAACTAATATTCAAATACGACGAAACATACACTGGTGCATGTTCTCACTTGTTTATTTTAACCAATAAAATGCTCGGTGTGTTTTTTTACAATAAAATTTAGCACATGGTGAATGCATTCGCGTTATATGATAAATATGAACTATTTTGAGTTGAGCCACTATTCTTGAAAAGTAGCGATATATGGGTTCATACTTGACCACAAACAGGCTGTACAGTCGAGATGGGATCGAAGATACAGCGATCTAATCCGGAAGATGCCTACTTGTGCCTTTGAAAATGTGAGGACTGTATTCACACGGAAATAGAGAGCAGGCAACATATTCCATTGCCTGGTGACCCATTAAGAAAGGTCTATAAGAAGGATATAGCTATTTATTTCCTTTCGAGCCCTCTTACGTGGCACTTCACATTTGGCAAACAATCACCATGTGGAGCATATGTGACATAGTTATTTGCCGTGTTTGTCTATTCGACAAATACAGCAAACACTAAACTCGCGTTACCGTGCAATGGTCGGTTTCTCGAAGCACACCAAAGGAGCCAAATAGGCAAATACGCAAGTAAACCGTCCACACTGTGGTCATATTCATTATTTTAACTCCTTATTTGGCTTCATGTGTACGACGGTCATATTTGTCAGTGTTTGCATGTTTGTCTGTATGCCAAATATGATTACAAGTACATCTAACAACCAATAGCGAATACAAGTAACCATGTGACGTGCGGCCATTATACGAGTATTATTGTCTAATACTTTATCGGAATGAAGTAATTTTTCATTATGTTGTTCGATCTTTGCACTAATGAACAAACACAAAAACAAATTCCTTCGAACGGGCTGGATTCGAACCAGAACACACAGTGGTAAATTCGCGTTGATCAGCCCTTAAAAAACCCGACCGCTAACTCTCGCCTTATAAATCTATTTCGTGAATCTTCTTTCATACATTCTCTCTACTCAGAAACTGTAGTAGCCAGTCACTGTCAGCTAAAAATTTATGCAATTACATCTTTTCATTCCATCTAATTCAAAAACCAAGACTGAGAGGTCAGAAAAAGATGACGTGTCTCAAATAACTTCACAAAATCAACGCCTAAACCGTTTTCAACACACCTGCTTGTATTTTCTTCCAGTTTTCTTTGTGTTTCCTTTACCGTAACAATTGTGTAACGTATTGTATTGTCGATGAAAGGGAACGTCGTTAGTAAAGACGACAAGGATTCCAATTAGCAACAGTATGCTTGTTGTCTATTATTGTTTCAGACATTCTTAGGTACACTGCTGGGAGGCTTTTAGAAAGCCGCTTTGAACACCCAAACATCAGGTAGGTGTCATAATGAGTATATCTTCAAAATTTTGTAGCAGTAGAGTTCCATAAGAAAGAGGTAGTCCAGCAAAGTACTGGAACC